TTACAGACTGAAAGAAAGTGGGAGTTCTCCATTTTTTATGCATGGTATGTGCAAAGAAAAAAAAAAAACTAATTGTTCACCATTTGACCAGCTGAAAAGGAAAAACTGGACAAATGACTAGAGTGTTGCTGATAAATAAACATAATGTATCAAAGAAGATACAACATTACCACTGGGGAGAACGAGAAGGCACGTGCTGCCTGAGTCACGGAAGTACAAGCGGATTAATTTCAATACGTTTCGCTTTACAATACTTTACTTTATGTAAGACTTTATTAATTCTCGCCATCAGCAGGACCGACACACTGTGGCGAATCAAAACACTGCAGTTCACTATGAACAGAAACCGACGACCTGACAGGACATAGAAAGACCACATTAAACAGTTTATCTCTTCTCGTCACCTGCTAAGTGATGAATTAGCACTCGAAGGGGCTTAAAAGGTGAAATCCCACTTCAGCGGAAGATGTCAAACGCTGCACCGACCCATATCGCAGAACAAAGTAGTTCCATAGACTCATCAAAACACACGGCTTCAGCAGCCCAACTTACATCTTCAGTTGAACATTGATGTCCATGTCACAGCTGTAGACATAGTTAAACTTGTCTGTGTCCATCTTCCGAAGGGAAAAACACTAATTTTCACTCCCAAACCGGACGACTTTAACATTAAAATCCCCGGACGTTTTTTTTTTGTGTGTGGAAGACTATTGCGACAACAAGGCCTCGGCTCGGCGCAGAAACACTCCACAGAGACCGGATAAAAGCCGGACAACGGAACCGAAGGCTTTATCAGACTGTAAACTGTTTTAAAATGAATAAATTAATGTTTTTAGTTACTGCTACGACGCTAGTATAGCCAGGGCATGATTTTAGGTTTTTAGTAGCTACACAGCAGAAACCGAAATTCCCCGTCAGGTCACAATAGTAGAATGTCGATACGGCAAGACGAGGAAGTCCATGGAAGCGATTGTTGAGGCTTGGGTTGATTATTTAGGTCTGAAGCAGGGCTACAAGCATTCATAGTTAAAGGTACAGTGTACAAAATATATCAGGGATCTACAATGCTTGATCCTACAATAGCCTACTGTGTGTTAAAGAATCTACAACACTTTAACACACAGACATAAATTTCATAAAATCAAATATATATATACATATATATATTTATAAAAAACATATACTGTTAATTTTCACATCATTTTCTGTTTTTTTTTTTTTTTTTTTTTTTTTTTTACCAACAACTAGACATTTCTATTTATTAAATGAGTGATGGATAACGAAGTGGCAGTCAGTTGTAATTTTAGGGCATTCAAATCTTTCCGACAAATATCTTTATTGGTCACTATCATTTCACTCTCAGCTTTTATTGTCCAAAGCCCTAAAAGACAGTAAACACCAAAGTTCAAAAGGTCTGACATGATGCGGTTTGAGTTACTTCCACATTATATTAGGCCAGTGGAGGTACTTCCAAGTGACACATTTAAAGAGGAGGATTGTAACTTACAAATGTTTCTAAGCAACATAACATTCGCACTCCTGTTAACACTGGTCTCTATTTAGGTGTCAAAAGGTTTATTTAACAAAAATAATCACATTCACAAATAACTCGTGCTTCAGTCCCTTTGGAGCAAAGGTTTAAAGAGTAGAGATCAAAAGGGATTCCCTCTGTTTGAGTAACCTATCAGGGTCACTACCATTATACTGTGGAGAGGAAACATCATAATGCAATGGGATAATCTGAATCATTTCTCCCCTAACGTCATTTTCCAAAGATATACAAGCCTGCCGGGGCAATGTAGCATTTACATTATACTGCAAAAAGCACCCACCCACCCGTACAAATAACTGAATTCAGACTTCTGTGTCAAAAAGTGTACAAAATCCAGAACCTTATAGGCAAGGAGCATAATACCCCGATGTAATGCTCCGAGGGCAGGAAGTCCAGTCATTAAATTTCCTCGCTATTAAACATTCAAGATATAAATTGTAATCATTATAATGCATTTGGCAGACGGTGCTCAATAAATTTATAAGCTTAATATTGTCCAGGAGTAACAGTTTTGGTTTCTAGCACTGACCCGAACGCCCCCATAGCACCAAACATATGTCAACATTGTTGTGAACGTTAAGTAAGCATATTTTATCAAACGATATCACAAAGAGAAGCCTTTTTACTTAAAAAAAAGTGCCAAAAGGAGCTAAAAGATTGCTGCCTGTAGAGAATAATGGTTCAAAATGTTCACATCCAACAGATGTACCTGAATTCCACCAAAATGAAAAGGACAAACCTGCGGCAAAAGGTTGGAGATGTTTATGATTCAAGGTAAATATTGTCACCAAAACACACAGAAAATGAGACAGAAGTGAAGTGGATGGCATACGCACGCTGCACTATCAGTTACTTCTCAGATGATCTCAAAGGACTGACCCGTCTGCAAACATGGCCGTCTTTGTCAGGTGGTCAAAACAATGTCTGCAAAGACCAGATCTGAACCCGGAGAAGCATTTAACTTGCAAAAACTAAATCTGAAACATGTTTATGGAGTGATGAGTTAATGATATTAAAATACACAACCAACAGTGTGAAATAAAATGCAATTGAGAGATACTTCCTGGACTTTGATGCAATAATTTATCTTTAATTGGGCTAAAATGGGGGGAGAAAATGCAAGAAATCAAAAAAAAGCATACAAGTACATGCATCTGATGCAATATAATTATGGCATAAAATTTTCTACTGAATAGAAGACATGTAAACATGAAATATAGACCAAAATGTTTGTTCTAGTTTTCCAGGATGAAGTTCAATCAGTGCAACAAGCTTTCTTTCCAAAGATGATGTCATGATGAAAGCCACGGGCACTTTCAAAGTTTCCCCCCAGTTAAAATGCGATTGTATGATCATCTCCCTTCATGGACGTGCAATGAAGTGCATGTCCATGAAGTGTGAAGACCGGACAGGAAAATCCTCATCTTCAGTGTTGAAACATCCGCCCATCTCATCGCAGACCGCAGCACACTGGACGACTCAGGGTGTGAGCTCTGAGTCGACACGTTTGAAGTGACCCGCAATCTCCAAAGAGCCCGGTACCACCCAAGTTTGAACATGAGGAGTGTAAATTCTTCTTCAGCTTTATGGGATGAAATAAAAAAAGAGCTCCTGCTGGTCCATAAGACTTGTCCATAATGGAAGAGGGAACTTTGAGTCAAAGAGATCAAGCAGATGAAAAAATTTCCGTGGCTATAATCGGAGGGTCCCATCGACACCGTCCAGCAAAGCCGGAGGTGTCAGAGAGGAGGGAAGGTTACGAGGCCCCGGGGCCGCTTGTGAAAGATCTGGGTGGATTTTTCCTCTGATCTTGAACTCTGTCCACAGATGGCAAACAAGTTTAATCATGTTTCAGATCACCGTAAAATCAGGTCAGATGACAACATGCTGACTTCTGACATCTCGACTTGTTTTCTGCGAAAAACAAAGCCGGTACCAAGTTTAAACATTTTACAACTCTTATGTTTTGATACAGAGACAAGAGATTAAAAGCTTAATCCCTGCAAGAAATGCACATATTTATTTGTGGTAAACAATAAAAGCACAACAGGTTTTGATTTAAAATTGTTTAAAGTGCATCCATAGGTGCCAAAAACTGGGAAAAACTTCTGAAAAGTCCCATTCGCGAGTTTAAAATATTTTGATGTTGCACTTTGTTTTACATAGTTGCTGTAAAGTAACAAGATTGGTTAGTACAGCGACGCAGACGATGAGCCATTCAAGTGAGTAGAAGTCAATGCATGGATCTACCTTATGAAGAAATAAGGAAAACTTTATTTATTTCAGTTTCAATTAGTCAAATCATTAAAAACAAAATAGAAGATTAAATTCAGGGTTGTGAGGAATGTTTGTAAACTTTTATTTGAAGCTTTAAGTGTGGAGATCCTTGTTGATAATAATGGGAAATAGTCAAAAATACCCAGTAGGAAGAAGACAAGCTGATGGTCTCGCCATTATGGTTCAGACAAAGTTCTAATGTGAAACCATCCAGATAAATGGTTCAATTTGGTTTATTTATTTATTTTTGAACATGATAGCAGTATAAAATAACACACACGAACAAGGAATGCAAAAGACACATATTTTTGTATCATAATGCTTGAAAAGGAGTAAAAAGAAGACAGAAACTTATGAACTCCCACCCCATAAACTCATACCATATTTTCAGATGGGCCCTCATTAATTATTAATAATAATAATAAAGGACATAAGTTAGTTAATTTTCCATTTTATCTGGGTTCAGGGTTACATATGTCGACATATGTTTGATATACATCTATTCCCACACAGAGTCATATGCGTTATTTGATGCCTTACACTAAATTTGAGCCATTTTAAATTCCACCAGATCTTCAAATTTCATTATTCTCTAGATTATAAGAAGATTTTAAGGTTTCAGAAACATGTTTTAAAAAATGTCTGATCTCCAGTAGATCACATCCAGAGATCTACTGGAGTCTCAGTTTAAAGACTCCAGTAGTCACTGACTGGCCCTGACGTTATGGCCTTGCATGTCTTTTCTGACTACAGCCTGACATTGAGACTGCTTGAAATAGCTCCGGCATTCGGATCAGTTCTAAACTAGAAAAGGGGCGAAGAATAACAGTAAATACATCCAATCCCTCTGCATCTCCTCCTCCTAGGGCCTCTCTCTCATTGTCCTCCAGGCCGCCTCTCCTCTGCCCCTCCATTGCTTAGTCATCACATGGATGTGTCATTGTTTCTATCTCTTCCTGACTTTCATGCCTGCCGAAGCGCGGCGAGAGCATCTCTGAGGTGCCAAACCCATGAAAAGATACAGGATTCACTTCTGTCCAACCCCCACCCACCCCACTCCACTCCAAACAGCAGGACCTCCTCATTCTTGATGGATGGCGCCACTTTCCACAGCCAGGGCCTCGGGCCACAAGGCGACCACACCTCCACGGCACGGACTTAAAGCCTCCGGATGTATAAGCAAGGGAACATAAGGAGACGAGGAATCGGGAGAAGGAGAAGATGAAGATGGAGCTCGTTGTGGTTAACTGGACGGTCGCAGCCGCAGGGTTCCTTCTGCTCTGGGCCTGCGGCGCCTCTGCAGCGCCTCTTGAGTGCCACTTCAACTCCAGAGGTGAGAAATCCTACTTCATCTAAATGAATGCTTTTTTTTTTTTTTAAAGGGTCTGAGCTGTGCTTTTTCCATGTGTCTGTGTGTTTTCCAGCTCTGTGTGAGTTCGAGGGGAGGCGGTACACCCTGGGGGAGACCTGGATGGATAACGCCTGCATGCAGTGCACCTGTTTGCACCCTGTTGGAGTCGGTTGCTGTGAGACGTGAGTAACACAAACACCCAGAAATCGCTCAGTGTCCAGATGCACACAGTCCATATGCAACAGCGGAGGTACTCAGATCCCTGGCAGACATACATTAGCGTAATATTTTCCTCACACTAACACCTTTCTGTTTAACATTAATGCTACGGAGCCGCACAGAGACTCAACTCTGATAGAAAACCCATGAACCTGAAGATTAGGGTGATGGTAAAGAGGCCTTCTCATATCATCAATAATAAAAAGAGCAAAATTATGATCAGGAGGGATGAAAATTAGTTTGAAGAGTGTAAATCTTTTGAATTTTTTAACTAGTATTGTCTCAATGATTTTTATTAGATTGTTGTTTAATATGTAATCTGAATTTAGAAAAATCATGACATATATATATGTTAATATATCAAATTTATGAATTTAGAAATCTTTGATAATGGCAACTTTGATCAGTCTAAATTTTTACTTTTTAATTAATTTTTTTTTTTACTATAAATAAACTGAGTCACACTGCTTCATCCGTGTCGTTTATCTGTCTGCAGTGCAAAGTTACACAGTATTTTCTTACGTTGTCTAACACTCACCCCGTTAGTGAAAAATAAAAACGAGCTGAATTAGAAATCACAGGAGTAACTAACATTGAAATATTACTTTTTTGTGTGTGTGTGCTTGTGCTGCCACTCCTTAGCAAAAGTGCCCTGGGTGGGGAGCCATATTTTGTCATTTAGGAAAAAAAAAAACAAAATAAAAAAAAAACACTGCTGACCTAGAATATAGCTTTAGATGTTTTTGAATAATTTCAAATAATCAATCTTCATATGAAAAGTTTAACATTTTTTTTTCAAACAAATACAAGCTTTGATAAGCAGGTTGATATCTACTGTATTTAAAGCATACAGTAATGGTTTATAGCTATTTTTTTCTGCACTTTTAAACAACACACACATTAAAAACATGCAGCGTAAGGCATCCTGAGCTGTACACAAAGGCCTTGTCTAATTCTGTGCAGGGTGCATCGACCGGTGGACTTCCCTGCCTGGTGTGAGGTGAGGGTGGAACCGGTGACCTGCAAAGTGTTTCTGGTCCAGACAGCCGACCCCCGCCTGCCCTGCACCCCGGGTGAAACGGACAGGGACCCCAGCCACGGATCTCTCCAGCTGCAGCTCGACGGGGGGATCCGCACAGAGACCAATAACAGCTTGACCTGCACCTAAATATCAGAGAATGCCTTTTTTGTTTTAATGAACCGATATTAAACACCGTCTTTGAGTCTTGGCCTGTTTCCAAATTAAGAATCTGACAAAAATTCAGAAAAGCAGCCTTTTGTGTTTATGTATGACATTTCTTACTCAGTATTCTTCTTGCAAGTATTAAAGTAAATATTCTACATTCTTTTGAATCTATTTTATTTCCATAATCAACTGTGCTTTAAAAATTCAGTAAAACATTTACCTGTTTAACTGATTTAATGTTCTTTGCTAACAAAACTTTTTGTCACAACAATGTAGTAATGTAAATATAAGCAAGAATGCAAACTTTATATATATTTTGTGTTCACCTGTTTTCTGCTGTAACTCATTTAACCTGGAGATGACGCTCTTGTGTAAAATAAGAAAAGAAAATTTGAGGTTAAACTTTTAATATATCCTTGTGCTTCTTACACGAGCTCAACGAAAAGAACTTGTACAGAGAAAAGCATCTTGTGTGAGTAATGCTTGCTTCAAATAATAAAAATAAAAGCTGTTCATGCATAAAGCAGTCTCAGAAATAAATAAACACCGAAAAGAAAAAGTTGCATTTTTCTAAAAACTTTAAAAAGCCACAAAAAAAAAAGGCGAAGTACACAGTTTGTTTCAATACGATTTGAATCCACCAACTCCGGATGCTTATTTCTTCTGGAAATATGCAACTCTGTGCAAATATTAGTTACCTGTAAAAGGAAAACACACACACACACACACACATATGCACACACACTCACTCACACGAGTCTTTAAAACGATGCAGTTCTGGAGGTCAGATGTTGATGCTGTTGGTGCCAGTGAACTGGGACACGTAGGACGCCAGCGCTGGGTTTGTGGGCAGCACTTTGATGGGCAGGTTCCAGCTGAAGGTGTCCACGTCCACGTGCTCCGCCCCGGCCCAGACGGTCACCTCTGATTGGTTCTGAAGAACGGTGGGCGGTTCCATCGGCTCCCGGGCCGTGACGAATTCAAAGTGCAGGCGCCACCTCAGAGTCACTGGAGAGCGAGAGTGAGGAGAGTCGATGAAGATGGTGTCTAAACACTTAAAGTAAAATGTTTGATAAATGAATTGTTAATAAGAAAAGAGGTAAAAAAAAAGGTCTACTAATATAATAACTGCTGCAGTTGGAATAAATGCTACAAGAAATCTGTAGAGTGATTGCAACCTTCATAAAGAACAGATAATTAAATATTATCCGAAGGTATATGTATAACATCAAGCATGTATGTGTGAATTAGAACCTGTTTCTAGAAAAAAGAACAAAAAAATTGAAACGTGTGCACCCAGTTATTGTCTTTACATATCACTTAAGGTATAGTCTTTCCTCTATGACAGAAAGATGACATAAATACGACTTTAAAAGCCTTTATATAAAATAAATTCCTCATGATGAGTATAGCTTGTCTTTAAATGGAGGGTTATAAAAATACGACTACGACTGAAATCAACTTGAACATTTCTGATGGTCTGAAACTTTCAGAGGCATTGTCAAAAGCATTGATGTGGGAATGTGACCCTCCGACTGACCGATGTCTGTGCTGAAGCCCGGTGTGACGTTGAGCGGTATGGGCAGAGAGAAGTGGCTGGAGGCGGTGTGGAGGCAGGACTCCAGGTGCCGGCCGTGTCCGGTCACGCTGACGGTCTGTCCGGGTCGCCGCTGGTACTGCTGCTGGATCTCCTCCTCGCTTTGCAGGCTCACCGAATACTAGGAAACGCATTCGAAGCGATTTAGAGAATAAATATTGGAAAGCAATGCTACGACTACACAACAAACTCGCCTGCAGGCAGGGGATGTCTCCCTCGGAGAAGTTGAAGGTGCCGACGATGTCCTCTCCCAGTCTGTAAACGGTCTTAAAGATGCAGAACTTTGCCACTTTTCCTCGCGTGTTGGTGATGTTAAACATGTCTGGGTGTGACGAACAGCAGAGGGAATGTGTGTAAGGCACAAATGATGGAAAGGTACAAAAAAAAAAAGAGTTTTGTTTTGATCTGATTGCAATGTTTATGTAAATACATATATGTATGCATCTGTAGAGTTACACTGCACAGTTTTGTTTATCAGTATTCTTAAATAAAAAAGACACAAAAGAAAGACGAGAAAGAAATAAGAAATTATACAAAAGGCAAAAATTACATTGAGAAAAATAAATATAAATAAATTAAATACAAAAACAAAAAATTAAAGGAACAAAAATTCCAATAATGAAAGAGCAGAAAAAACAAAGAAAGATAAATAAAAGAAAAAGGAAAATAAAGGAGTTATAAAAGGAATAAAGAAAAAGAAACAAGGAAAAAGAAAGAAAGAGACAAAGGAGGAAACAAAAAGAAAGAAGTAAGAGAGAAAAAAGAAACACACAAACAAAGAAAGATAAGCTGATAAACAACTTACGAGGGCATCGTCTGGAGGTGGTGACCATCAGCATGTCCAGCGCTCTTTCCAAAGCTGTCGCATCTCGCCGGCTTGCTTCCTCTTCCTCCAGAAATGGGTTGGAGGGAGAAACTACTTCATCCTGGGGAAACGGAGGCTCTGGCATTCCTGTGGGTTAGATAAGAAAAAGTCTAACTTCATCAGTTTTTATTCTTCACTGAATTTCCTCACAAGTCTAAGAACAGACGGTCGGACAAAATGAAAGCAAACGCAAACCGGAAGTGATCCAAAACTCCCTCACCCTGCAGAACCAGGACTCTGAAAGGAACTCGGAGCAACTTGATGGGAGAGTTGACTCGCTGACAGCCGATGGTCAGCTTGTAGACGTACTTCACTGCCTGGCCGCGAAAACTAGGAGGTCCATCTAAGGGAACCAGCTCGCTGTAGGAGTCTGTGTAGGTCGTGTGGTGGAAGGCAGAAATAAAAACCAACAAAATAAAACTGTTGTGAATGTGATACAGATGCAGAGATCAGGGTATCCAGCCCATCTTCGCGGCAAATACAAATTTCAGCCGATTTCAATCACTATTTCAGAACGATAACACGGGCGGAGTCACGGGACGCAAGTGAGTTTTACTAATATTCTGGAAAAGAAACAAAATAATTAGAAATGATGTTTTCTAATTATCATTAGAAAACACGATAATGTGTTATCGTTCTAATTATCATTAGAAAATAATGGCAATTATTTTCTAATGATTTTTGTTAGAATCTCTAAGATTCTTCTAACAAGAATCTTAGATTTGTTGTTAGCACAGCTGGCTTGCAGTGCTTGTGCATGATGCGTTCACTGACCAGATTTTTTTATTTTACACTAGCCAGTAACAGTAAAAGTATTCTATGCTCAAATGTGAAAACCCTCTACACCCAATATTTAAATTTCATTTAGCAGGAAATTTATAAAGCTGTACAAAAGTAACCAATAAAACTCAAAGCAACAACAGAAAGCATTCTGGTACTATCAGAGACTAATTAAGTCACACAAAAGAAAATTGCTACAGGTGATCTCAGGTATACGTGGACATGTAAAAGATGCAAGGATAAAATAAACCCCCCACAGAAATCATGTGAAAATACGTACATGTTTTACTTTCTCCGGGGTCAAGGCGCAGGTCACAGAACAGTATTTTGGGAGGCGTGTCCAGCACACACTGCCCTCGTTCTCCTGTAAAAAATAAAGGTGAAGACTTGGTGGGACATTCTATATTCTTACCTTAGGACCTAATATTTAAATTTATTTATTTATTTACTACTAATAAGTTTTTGCCAAATTCCCTTTCAGAGACTTAAAAAAATACATATATGCTGTAGGGCTGAATCGATTAATCAGGCTAATCGTGATGAATCCATTACCCAAATAACCGCCGACTAACTTAGTAATCGATTCATTGTCTACAGACTCAGCATTAATTAAGTCAAAAAGGCACTAAAATGATAGATATTTACATTTAAGTTAAAAGGTTTGTGGCTATGGTCTGCCCAGATGGCATAGCTTTAGCTTCTCCAAGTTCAAATTCTGAAAAAAGAAGAAAATCCCCCAAAATAATCACAAGGACAGCCCTACATTGTATTGCTGTTGAGTCTGAAGTTGCATTATTTACAACAAATGATCAAGCATTCACTAAATAAAGTTTTTATTGCATTTCTGGCAACAACAGTTTTGTCTTATATAAAAAGGGAATTAAATTTGTTTATCTGCAATAATTTAATGCATTTCAAACATGGCATCATGTTTGAAATGCCCCCTGATTAATCATCAGGGGGGAAAAAAAACGATAGAATAATCAGTAACAAAAATAATCGCCCTGCTATGTTGCAGATCTGATATCGGACGCATGAATCTGGACCTCCAGCCCCTCTCCGATGTCGCGGAGCTCACCTCTGCTTGGAATCAGCACGGTGTCGCTGTCGGCCTGGACGTCCTGCTTGTTGCCCTGGGCCGGCAGGGCCACTCTGTTCTCACTGGCATGAAACTGGCAGTGGATCTGGGCGCTGGCCCACGCCAACATCTCGCTGCCATACAGGAGACAATGGTTAGACCCGGGCAGGCTGTCCGACTGAGATCAACATTAGCATTCTTTAGCACAAGTATTAGCACTCCTCTGTATAAATATGTGACAATTATCAAAACATGTCTTATTAGAGAAGCATTCTGGAAGTTTGAAAAAAAAGTGTTGCAGTTCTGCAACGGTGAGCTTTGGAGATTTCCTCCCTTCACCGTGTTCCAAGATAAACGTGTCATTGCTGTGCTACTTCTACTATTGTGTGATTTGCTTAGACAAAGTAGATTTTTTGCACCGGAAGTTAAAAATAACATTCCCAATGACAAATCTTTTTGTTATTAGTCTCCATCTTTGATTCAGGCGTCCTCAAGAACTGAGGACAAATATAGTGTTGATATTGTAAAAAGCAAAATGAAAACGTGGACTTGTATTTGTTAGGGTTTTGTTTAGTTCTTAGTTTCTTTTTTACGACATTTGATTTAATCCTAGAATTAGTTCCAGGTTTTAGTTCTGTTTATTTATCTTACGGATAACGTACGTTTTATAGTCAACTTAACTTTGACCTTCTTCAAATCCATCTTTGGTTTTTCACCTCATTGCAAATGAAACTGCAATTACTTTTCTTACGTTCACATTTTCATACCATCTTTCAATGAAAAAAGACACATCAAATATTTCTTTATGAT